ATTGTAAATAACTTTTACAAATTAAGGACTAAAATGTAATTTATATATGAAATTACTATTCCGGATCTTAAAAAATCAAGTAGGAACTTAATTAAATAAATTTCTAAAATTATTCTGAAATAATATATGTTATATTTTTCAAAGGGCAAATTGATATTTTACCATTTGTAGTACAAAAACACAAAAACTATAAATAAAATATGATACCTTTTTTTTTTCCTTTTAAGTAGTACAAAAGCACAAAAACTATGTAAATTACAAAAAATCCCAGAAAATACACACAAAGAACATCTGATCTTCAAGTAATATTCGTATAAGATTTAAGATATTCATTACTAGTGGTTCATGTGAATTATTATTAGAGATCGAACACTTAAACATTTTATGATTTGTAATAACCCAGCCTTAAAATAATTATTCAAAACAAAAAAGAACATATGATCTTCAGGTAATATTTGCATAAACCCTAAATAATCTTAAATTTGTATAATAAGTTCTTAGAACTCTTAATTTTAATTTTTAAATTTATTGTTTTCTCTGCATATATGTGTTTTAGAAAACTTAACATTTCCATCAAGGTTGCCATTATATTATTATTTTTTATTCACTCAGGCTGTATGTATGTACTTGAATGAAGTCTATCAAAATTGAATTTGATAATGTTTGAGGCGAGGTTTGAAGCCTAATACATAAAATAACCCCAAGTCATGCAAGATTTAGAATCTAGTAAGGATCCAATAAGAAATTAGAGTTATTATTAGATAGTATACTGGTTACCATTACTATATATAATGCATGATATTTTGACTTTCTAATTTTAATATGACAATCACCACCACTATGAATTTTGATAAGATATCGTAATTACTTGATCACATTATACACCACATCCTCTCATTTCTTCCAACACAAGACGCGGTTCATCTTATGTCATCCAGGTTAGAATTTATAAAGTAGAGTTTGACAATAGGCTATTGAAGAAAATATACAAAGATAAGAGGCTACTATAATGCTACCATTCTCTAATTGCTTCTGCCAATGAAAATAGCTATTTTCTACTGTTAATAAAGGCAACTCTTTCTACTACGTGATTAGCTTGTTAGTTGTCCCCTTTTCTCTCTTTAAACCTCTTTATTTATAGCTGAAAATATAAGACACATTAGGCATAATTTCTACTAAGAATCTATCATAATTTCTATCATTGACATGTTGATTCCATGCTTTGTCAAAGGGCTTTTATATTATGGGTTTATTAGATAATAATATAACAATTATGATTTCAAATTTCACTATCTCTGTTATCTTTTTTAATTAAAATTAATTAACAATACAAGGTAATATGAGCTCATGCAAATTTCAAGCTTAAAGAATTTTTATTTAAGAGAGTATATTAGAAAATAATATAAACCAAATATTGGGGTCTTGCTTAATATCTTAAATTTTTAGATTGAGATAATTTTTTAATAAAATATATCCAAGACATAATATCATGTTTTCATTTCTTTTCTCGTATTTGGTTTCTATAAACCCTTCTTTGACACAAGAGCTTCTAACCAGAGATTTGGATTCGCTAACTTTGTTTCAACAATCTATGTAGAGAAGAAATATAATTGATTCAAGAGCTTTTGACTAGAGATTTAGATTCACTAACTTTTTCTACTCTTCTTTGCTTAGACAATCCTTACAAAGCAAAAGTATAACAAAGTTTAAGTTATCTCTTGTTGTAGAAAATTCTATCAATCCCCCTAGTTGCATCATGTGTATGTTAAGAATTGAGCAAGTTTGCTAGTTTAACAAAAGAAAGGCATGCCAAACAAAAATATATTGAAAGAAAACCTAAATTTCATACAAGTTTATATATAAACATAGAAAATAAAAGCATATGACAAATATGTTTTCAACACAAATATAATAATATAATTCTATCATGTATACTATGTATATATATTCAAACTTGCAATTGATATTAATTAACATTTTTAGCATGTAGACTAATAATAAAAATATTTATAGTTAAATCAAAACAAACGAGGGTACTTATTAAAGTACTTTAAATAAAAATATTAGTCAACCTTTAAACTAAGAATTGAACTTAAACATAGCATCCATAAATCTAAATTTTTTTCCTTGAAAACACTATTCAGGTTTTGCAAAAAAAGCACATAAAAGAGATAGTTAACATTCATAGATTGGAGTGAGCAAAACAATGGGCTAAAAATTCAAGGACCAAGCCAAAATCCAAGTCTTAGTTGATAAAAAATAATATGTTAGAGTCTTAAATATTTTTTTACAATAAATCCAAGCCTATGTCCAACTTGAAGCCCAAGCCGATACATGCATGTGTATCTATGTTTAAAGCCAAAGCTATAACAACCCGAAATTGTAGTGGTTTTTTTTTTGAATTATGATGTATAAGAAATTTAGAGGTAAATATTATTTTTTTATCATGAAGATGGTCTCCAGTTTACCATCCAATAGATTCATCCACAATTACATTGATATACATGTTAAAATACAAATATCATAAGGTTACAACACTTTTTGATGATATACATAAAAATTTATTTATAAACTTTTATCTGACATTACAAGTTCCTATTCATTATAAAAGGCTAGATATCTTGGTAACATTTTATTTCAGATTGAGTCATTTGAGAAAATATACTTGTAAAACAAATAGGTCACACAATTATTATACACAATTGTACCATCACAATTATTAATACTTTCCAAAACCAAAAAAGAGATCCTCACATCTTTAACATCTTATAAACATAATAGATATTTGATAACTTCTTAGTTTAATACATTTATTTTCTAATAAAAACATATAAACTCATTTTTTTTATTTTATATAATTATTGAACTATTATTGTACTACTTACAATACCACTTATTTAAAAATCCAATTCTTCACCCCTTTCAAACATTCATCGCTTATACTTAAAATTAATTGCATTTATTTTATCCTTACAATCATTCCCATTTATAATTTGATTTAACCTCCTTTATATAACTATGTCAATTATTCTTGGTTCAGAGTACAAACTAGTTTAGGCTTTATCAAATTATTCAACAATCAAATTTTGTTATGGATATCCATCATATTTAGTGTTTACAAATCCTACTTTAACTTATTTATAGGCTCATTAACTTAATTTCATACCTTAATTATACTTTATCTTAACTCTGGTTTACTAACTACATTTATATCTTTGAACACTTTTTACATTATTTTTAACCAACTAAACTTTAATTAATCTATTTTGACTCCTGGGGTCTCATTTACAACTCATCACTAGAAATATTCAACCTCAAACGTTAATCTTACCAAATATGACTCAATTGTTTTATTTTAAAATATCAAATATTTCTTAAGCCCATTATCGATCATATAAAATATCCATAATTTCCATTCCTTTTTAATTATACATAACTCATACTTCAAAATATAATACCACTCATTGAAATGGTCATATTAGCATTTAGTGTATTGGATCCACCATTACAAGCATTTTTTATTATTATTAAATCTTAGCATTGCAGACAACTCAATTTTTTCTTATTAAACTCTGTTATTGTAGACAAATTCAAGCTCATTTGATAAATTATGTTGTTATGGTCAATTTAATTTTATTTACTTTATTGATTTTTGACAACTCAATTTTAACACCCACACGCCCAACTATCCTTGGTTTGGTTCTCAAATGTCCAAATAAATTATAACAATAAATAATATATTTATTATAATCTAAACAATTGACTTAGACATTTATTTAGTTCAAGTCTCTATCCAACATAACCATCATATCTTATTATCTTTCATTTCATAAAATCATATCCTATTTTTCCATCTAAATCAAGTAATTCTTTTTTCCAAACATAATTTTACAATTAAATAAAACATCAATAGAAACATATTTTAAATTAAAAGAGTAAGGTATCATACACCTACTCGATTCCCTTGCTAACCAAGCTCCCTTCGTCTCAAAATACCCATGAGTTCATATTCATACTTTTATATATGAAATCTCATTTTTTTTCACAATTTGCTTCTTGCTTATTTATGTCCTTATTATATAAACAAATACAATTTCAACAACTTCCATATTAATAAACAACATGACAAAAATATATATTAAAACTTTCCTCTTTCAATGCAACCCAAAATAACTAATGACTTGGTCCCCAACAATTTAACATGCCACGCCAATTTTTCTCCAACGTATATACTTAATTTTCAACTTAATTATTCCTTTCATGTCATTATATTACCAGACATTTAGTTATTAACCTATGCACACATATATGGGCTGCTGTAATAACCCATTTTCCCGTGCATTTGGGCTGTCCTAACAATCAACTTATCCTTGCCATAGCTATCCCATTTGCTCAACTATCCTATATTATAAATCTTCATTTAAAGGCAAGTTCTCTCGTTCATATACCTCATTATTTAAACAATTTCACACTTGACATACACAATTTTGTAATATATTCCACACATGATTTCTTAACGGTGGACGCTAAACATATTCGAATCACACAATTTCACAATCGCATAATCAAAAACCAATTATAAAATTAATTCCTCGTAGAATTCCAATTTCAAAATGCATATAGAAATCAAATTACGCTAATTGAAACTAATTAAATCAATTCCAAATCATCATTAACACATCAACACATACCAAATACACATGATTGAACAAACATTAACTTTAATTCCCATGTCTCCAATTTTCCCAAAATGTCCGGCCACTAGCGATGGAAGATCACCCAATTTTCTTCTTTAATTGTTCATCCATTAAAGCTATTTTCATCGTATTACATCCCAATTGCAACAACTTAACACAATTTTACATTTCCTCAATTTTTATTCAAGAACTCTAATTCAAAATGTAAGAATTCATGCATAAGACTCATAAATCTTTGCTTAACTTGTATAATTGAGTTTATAACCTCATACCCGACATTTTAATGAGTTTTGAATACAGCCACTAAAAATTTTCTCCCCTCCTCTTCTTCCTTGTTGTTTTGTGTGAGTTTCTCTCTCCAATTCCCTTTCTCCCACTTGATTTTTCTCTCATATTTTTTGTTCGTTTTGCTTAATCACTCATCCTTTCAATTTCCATGTTTTTGCCTCTTGATTTTGGTGGAGAAAGCATAAAGAACCATGGCCTCATCTTCTTCTCCCTTGCTGTTTGCCTCCAACAATTGTTACATGGAGAAGAAGCTGGAATTCCAGCTATATTTTTTTCTTCAAAAATACCCTTAATGAGCCCATGAAAATTCCTCGGTATTTCAGTCCGACTGTTTGTCCATATTTGGAAGTGCTGTCATGATGCGAGTGCTCCCTTCCCTTTCTGAATCTAGAACTGCAGGAATTGGGTCATTTCCTTTAGTGGTTTTATCCTCTAAATGACAATCACTGGTGATCTCTGGTTGCTAATCGACTCTTTAGTGGATGTAAGCAATGGGATTCGTGAAGACTCTCTTCTCTTTCGAGCTTTTCTTCCAATCCATGCCAGAAGTGGGCCTTTCTACCTTAGCTTTGGCCGGGAGAAAGGTGTCAATGGGAGATAAGGCAAGATTGGCCTATGATTTCTATCAAGATACAGATAGAGAAATATCGGTTCCTCATTGAGGTTTATGCTACTAATGATAGGCGTCTTTTCTATTCATCAATGTCAATCTCAGGGCGAGATTTTTCATATTATTTTGTTAATTCTTGAAAGAAGTTCGGTGATTATTATCCGGAGGAGTAGGAGGATATCGTGGGTGGTGGTGGTGGTGGTGATTAATGGCAGAACAGCAGTGATATTGACATAAGAAGCACTCTATCTTCACTCCAGGCAAAGATCCTTCCCCAATCCTTATGCTAACGGTGTTGCATGCTACTAAATTATTCTAATTGTCTATTATTCTGATTAGCAAATGCCAAAGCTAATTGTCCAGGTGATTTTCTGCCTTGTTTAAGTGAACATGTTCGTCACGGTTGCCTATTATTCTTGGTAGTCATCAAATTCCATAGCTAATTCTACAGGTGATCATCTGTCTCGTTTAAGGGGTGCATTTCCATTATGTTTGCTCATAACTGTCCTACTCAGCACCCAGGCTGTGCTCTTGCAGGTAAATGGGTATGCATATTTCTCTTGAAGCAAGTAGTATATTTGTTAAACTCAGTTCAGTCTGATAGGTTGAGCTAACAAACCTGTGACTCGAGCTTAATCCCATTGGGGTTTCAATTTGAACAGGTTTTAATTTTACCGGGCCAAACTTGGCTGGGTCAAAACCAATGAATTTCTTTTAAAAGAATGAAATGATGTAATTTTAATAAACAAAAAAAAATTACTCCAGATTGATCTTACGCTCAATAATCCAGGCCCTTTATCGAGTCGGATTCCAGGCTACATTCAATAACTGTGCGCTTCAGGTGACTGTTATTACTTCATCCTGAAAAGTGAATACAAAAACCATTACCGGCAATATTTACAACATTTCTTTGCAAAACTCCAAAGGACAATTGTTAATGTTCAAAATGTTAATCATCAATTATGAGAAACAAAACATCGAAGTGTACAAAATATCCACCAGGAGAAAGTAAAACCAATGCAAAAACAAAACGGAAAGCATTAACACTTCAAAACGTCGGACAATTATCAAACACAAACAGAAAGCATCTGCCGTTTGAGAAACAGTTATGTAGCTGGCCTAACTACGAAACTTCAAAATTATTACAGTAGCCAAACCGGTTACTGTTAAAGCTTAGACTCATCAACCATAACCAAACAAACAAACAAACAGTCGGTCCCAATGAATTCACATTTCCATGGCTTCAAAATCAGAAATAGAACCTATATAAACCAACCAATTTCTATGCTCTCTCAATCTTTTTACTCGTTTTAGCTAGAAGAAAGTTTCAGTCTTTGTTTCTTCAGTCATGATTTTTGGAGTTACTTTTCTATTAGGCATTTCATCGAACATTATGAGTGGCGTTGCTTCTCTTCCAAAGTTACATGCAGTTCAAGTTATCAATGAGTTCACTCATGACCCCAGTGCCTTCACTGAGGTAAATCCTTTCCTGGGGTTTCTTTGTTTTTGCTTGATTTGGCTTCATTGTCTTTGATTTGATTGTTTGGTTTTTTTGTAAGTTTTGTAGCTTTCATTTTTTATTTTCTAGTTTAGTTCAGTTTTATAACGAGAGTTATGTGAAATTAACTGGATCAAACCCTGATAAATGAAGACAGAATTCTAGCATGCACGAGTTCATATTGAGCCTCCTCAAAATTAGATAGCCAATCGTAAGCATAACAAGACTCAACTCAACTCATTTGCAGTCCCACTGGCTCAGAAGAGCGATCACAAAAACTATGAAGAATGATGTTTTTTTTTGGTGCATATGAAGAATGATGTTAGAGATAACAAGATTTTTTTATACTTACTATTTTACTATTTGATGTGTCAAGATAGGTGCTATATAGCTAGTATTTGGAATAGAAGAGATAAGAGAAGTAAAGACAGAAATTATCTGTAAAGACATAAGAACCGGCTTATTTTTATGTTTATGTTTTTGTTTTTGTTTTTCCAGCTAAATACGTTTTCTGTTTTCACCATATTTTATCCTTTTCTTTTTCAAAAAATGCAACCAATTACTACATAATGTTGAACCTGGCAAAGAGAATCGTGGAAATAACTATATAGATTCTTTCTACCATATTTGGAGGTAGGTGGACTGCTTATTCCCTGTAAAAGAAATTATCATCGATCTTTGAGGATTCAACGTTTTATTGCTTAAAGAAATCAAAGATTTCATTTTTTTGGCCATCAATGTTTTTGGATTGAAAAGGGACCTAACAGCCTACTCAATATTTCATTCGTCTCTTCTTTGATCAAACTTTTAATTTTATCACCAAAAGTCTGTGCTTGTTAAGGCAGTCAGGGGTATAACTGTTATTTTAATCTTGGGAATTTCCTTGAAAAGATGGATCAGTTTTGCATCTGTTAGTCAATCTCCAGAAATCTATTCAGTTCAAGTACTCAATGAGTTCCTTCATGATCCTAAAGTTTTCTTGGGCCATTTCCTTGTTTCATAAAAGAGCAACGCTGTCCCTGATTTGATCATCTTGGTCTTTGTTGGAAATGTTTTGTTCTAGTTTAATTTAACCTTATGCTGGAGCGACCCCAAGCAAAACTGGAGACCAGTCATTCATTTTGAGTAAGGTCAAAACGATTTGTTCTAGTCATTGTTAGGCTAAACTCAGGTGGATTGCAGAGTCCAACACATGTTGGGATTCCAGTTATGATGGCACTACCAGAAGTTTTTGTTGACTGTTAACTTGTGAAATTTTCTGTGAATGGGTCGTCATTTCTTTTTAACTGGCATGAAAGAGTCGAAGCCATTCATATAGCTCTTGTTCGTTTGTTTCATTTCAGTTTCTGTTTTTGTTGTTCCCTTAAATCTAATTGAGATCCGTAAGTACACATCTCAGAAAGCCATTCCAATTTATCGAGACTTTTCTTCTTTGAGTATGAATTGCCAATGCTTTATTACTTTTGACTGCAACAATCTTTGTTTCAGGGTCTTCTTTATGCTGGAAATGGTACACTATATGAATCAACTGGCCTATATGGAAATGTAAATTTGCTCACTCTCATGTTTGCAATTGTGTATAATATTATTTTGTATATTAATCGAGATTTTTTATTCTCTGGCTTTCCTTCTCCATTTATGTTTTGTTCTGTCACTCCATGCCTTGCTTATGAGATTTACCCTGGTAGTTGTATGTCTTCGTGTTTCAGCATGATGTCTATACTCTTGTTGGTTCAGAAAACTGCATTTTTTTAAAAAATAGGCTGCATACTTTGCAGCGTCTTTGCTTTTCTTGTCAATTACACTTACGTTGCATGCAATTCACTAATCAATCTATTTAACTTTATCATATCAGTCATCCATTCGCAGAGTAGCTCTTCATACCAGGAAGGTGTGAGCTCTAATATAACTAGTGTTTTTTTTTTGTTTTTTTTTTATTTATTCTTTCTTTGAATGGTTGATCTAGAGGTAACCATGACATTTAATTCAACAAATGAGCGACATCTAAGTTACATAACAAGCCAGATATTTTAATTTAGGCCTTAAGCTGTATTTTTTATGTACAGGTTGAGGTTCTCCAGAAGATGGATGATTCTTATTTTGGTGAAGGCTTAACCCTGTTTGAGCAAAGGTTTGTGATTCAGTATGTATATGCATATGTATATTGTCAAATTTGAAAATATTATGCTAAATTGCTAATGTGCTTGTTTTTATTTTCTTCTGTAGGCTATTCCAACTAGTTTATCTGACGAAAACTGGTTTCATATATGGCAGAAACACTTCATGCAAAGTTTGTGCTTCACCATTTACTTTTGACATGTAAAGATTTCATTATTTATTAAGGTTACACATTTTAGTATAGGAATCTTTGAGATTTTTCTCTAGCTTTTCATTCGGGGATCACCAAACCACATCTTTGTGGTAATATGCTATAAAAATCTCCTGCTCTAAATCGGATTCTTAAAATTATTTGATTGTCAAAATGCCTGCAATCTTGGATATCTGTTGCTTTTAGAATTGTGATTAGTTACTGCACGTAAAACTGCTCTGCAGACCAAACTTTACCATGTAGTAAGACGATCACGCTACGTTTTCCTTGCTTGATTGCTTGATTGCTTGATTGCTTGTGCATTGCTTTTTTATTACAATTTTCTTTCCTGCTCATGTACTTTTATGGGGCGACCTAAAGGTTCTAGTTTAGGATATTTCGTAATTTTAGTTTTGGTTTATATTTATTGCGGATTGGGGAATTCACTCATGGGATGGAAGATGGTTGGGGACTGGCTACCACTGGAAAAGTTTCGTTCGGCAGTGATGGGACTTCATCATTATATCAGCTTGACCCTCAAACATTGAAAGGTTCTTGCATGAAACAGCTAGTGTCAGTTTCTGAAAATTATATGCTTTTTTGTTGTTCATCTTTTTTCCTTCTTCTTTTGAACAATTTTCAAGGGTTTTTCCCCCAAGATTATCAATGTTCATGTACACTTCAATTTTGCAGTTGCTCATAATAGCATCCTGTTTCTTTTCCCATCTTAGTTTTGCAATTTTTCCATAGTGTGGCTGGTGCTAACTCCTATTTCAAAGCACGAACACAATTTTTTTCCCTTTTAGACTTTGCATTGTTGATGATTTTTTTTACTTTTCTATTGCAGTCATTGGAAAACAAACTGTCAGAAATAATGGACATGAAGTACACAATCTCAATGAACTAGAATTCGTGAATGAAGAAGTTTGGGCTAATGTCTGGCAGGTGTGTTCGTGGATCTTCATTATATTCATTTGGTTACAGATTGGATAATTTCCCATTAATAGTTTTTGGGCATAAGTTTAGTGATTGAGCTACAGGATAGCAAATAACTTTTCTCCTTCCCTTATATCCCTTTAAACTAGTGCAGGGCATTTGTATCTTAAACAAATGTTAAAGAATTCACCAAGCAAGCTAGGGAAGACTCTCCTTCCAAATGCTGCCAATACCTTTTATTCTCAATGTGCAGACAGATTGCATTGCAAGAATCTCATAGAAAGATGGTTCTGTGCTTGGATGGATTCTCCTTCCAAACTTAAGGTTTTGTTTTTCATTTCCTTTCCTTATGTATAGTTTATTAGTTTCTGATATGTGTTCTAATCTGATCACGAGATAATCAATTCCCTGTGATGTTGCTAAAAGGTTTCAGAATCATTCATTTTCTTTTCTGTTTTTCAGGGAAGGCTTGATAGCAGCTGGACATCATGTAAGCATTATAACAAGTAATTTATGAAAGCAGATTGTGATATATTTCACTCTCTGTTTGTTTCCTATTATTGCCCCTTCCTCTCTCATTTTTCTTGTTCAGACTGAGGGTTTGCAGAATTATCACGAGTGATGTTGTCCTGTCCTGCTGGAATTTCCCATCTTGCTTGCTTCTTCTATTAAAAATCTCTCTTTCTGCTCTGGGACTTCTGAATATCACACACAATGTTCTAGTCTAGAACATTCGTCCTACTCTACCCCTAAGCTGAAGAATCTATACAAACTCTAAGGCTCATTTGGTCGCGGGATAGGGTAGGCCCGCTTTCATGCACAAGCACAAGCACAAAGCAGGGCGGGCCATGAACTCCGGAGCTCAGGCTTGGCAGCCCATCTCCTTGTCATGAGGGTCGAGACCAGACCCTGCATGACTTGAACCTGTCACAGGACCACACAGGCTGCATTCCTTAGTTTTAGAATGGTTTGCAGTTCCCATAGTAATCCCACTCCAAGTGGGAGGCATGCACACCCTGAGTCGGTGTGCTCAGCGGTCCCTTCCAGATTTGAGGCACCAAACCCCCTTTTGGGGTGTGCATTTTCAATTACTTTCTCATCCTCTCTCGTTTTTCTTGTATAGATTGTGTGTTCACAGAAGTCTTTTCTTTTCCTAATTCATGTGACTGGATTTTTCACTGCATTATAGGGCATTGATGTTTTAAATGGCATAGCATGGGATGGCAATCACAACCGCCTTTTTGGTAAGCTGCTGCAGATGGTTTCTCTCTTCTGATTTCCACAAGAAATCATATTGTAGCAGATTTCTTGTTTTATGACACAACTTTTATTTTCTATCTTCAATTTTCTTTGCAGTCACTGGAAAATTTTGGCCATTGCTCTACGAAATCAAGATGTATCCAGCGAAGAAACCTTTTGATATTGGAGTGCCTGAGAAGCTTTGCATCCCACCAAGATCATGACATGTCACGCTGGGAGCCCAGCTTGCTAATTTTTGGCGAGAGATTTAACACGTCCAAACCCTTGTTATTAAATTTTATTTCGTTTTATTATTGTATTTTAATTTATGTTTTTTCATTGAAATTTTATTATTTAGTGGGTTATAAGTTTAAATTAATTTTAAAAAATAAAAAAATGACATCATCAACAAGCCAGCCAAATACAACACCAGGTCACATGTATTAAATCAATAATATTTTGTGTGATCCAAGTGGTTTATTGCCATCACTAAGTATCTTGATTGATAAATCACTCAACTCTTCAGTTTATTGAATTTTAATTCTTCAGTATTGCATTTGTTATTGAAATTATCATTCATAATATCTTATTTGCTAAAAAAAAATCATATTGCATTACATTCTTATATTTTTACCATTCAGATTTAATTATTAGTCATTTTTATTATTTGTGAAGCTTATTGAAAATGATAGAATATTGTGATTTTTATTTGATTAATTGTTTACACTTAAAAGATCTACATTACAAGCTTGAAATTTTCTTAGTACATTCTAATTAACTTTCACATAAAAATAGCTTTATTTTTTTTATTATATTTTTACTTGCAAGAATTGTGATCTCAATTATATCTCTTTACACTCATTTGCTTCATTTGCATGGTGATCCTATAATAACCAATTCTAAGTTTACAATTACCATAAACCCTATTATTAAATACTTTTAAAGTCATTCAAAGAAAAATACACCCTATTATTAAATACTTTTAGAGTCATTTAAAGAAAAATACAGCTTATATGAACCTAGACGATTAATTTATCTAAAAGAGTTGAATTATTAGAGATTTTTCAAACAAGATATCTTAATACAAGTAAATATTATAACAATAATCATTATATGTAAGTTCATCATGAGCACCATCAATATAATTAATATTTGAGTTAGTTTAACTATGATTACTCTGATGACTGAATTATGAGTCCTAATAAAATAAAGATTTCTACTTTTAATGGTCACATGAGCTTTGGATTTGTACTATGTTTTATATGTGATATTAATCACTTTTTTTTTTAATTTGTACAACTTATCATAAAATAAAAAGGTAAGATTTGTGAAAATAAAACTTAGTGGTGCCCTCTTACTACTAACTAGATTGAGATGATGCAAGAGTTACAAGAGAAGTACTTACCCCAATATTATAGAACAAATCTTTTAGATCAATAGAATAATCTTGGACAAGAGAACAAGTCTATTCGTGAATATATAGTTTGATTTAATGAGAACAAAATGAAATGTTTTGTTAAAGAGGAAGAGACCACGACTCTAATAGGTTTTGTAAATGTTTGAATAGACAAAACATCAAGACCTTATAGTACCCTGTGTAGATCTTAGTTTGGAAATATTAGTTCTTTGTTAAGTGTTTCACTTGATAGACTCAATTCTAATAGTGCCCAACTTCATAAAGAAGATAGTAATAAACGAGTGATTGATGAAGTGTCTAGGCTGAGTCAAAAGATTTAGTGTGCTAAATGTCAAGGTTTTAATTATATTGCACCTAATTGTACCACTAAAACCATTGTCATCAAGGAACATAAATATATAGGTGGAGAGAAAGATTATAGTGACCAAATATATGAATCCAATCCTGATGATTTTAATAACATAGATAAAGATGACGTGAAAAAAGATAGACTTGGAACAATAAGTTCAAATGAGTTTGTAAAGGAGATTAATGAATGGTATATTATGTATGTTTTAGTTGTAGAGAAAGTTTTAGAAAATTCTCTAGTAGAATTGCTTGAAAAGGTAAGTGTAGTGTTAGAAATTTTTTTAGATATTTTTATCTTATATGCTTGACATATATAACCTAATAGATTATATGCAACATATTGAGTTCATTAATCCATTACTCTTTACACATTACGAGAAAGATGAATATAATTATAATTTTCAAAGTTATATCCAATTATTATCAAATTAGGTTTTTGATAGTATTTGTTTCATTCCACCTTCTTAATCATTTAATGTTCATATTTACAAATCTAGGAAGCATGTAGATCTCTTTCCCATATCTTTTCACAATAGAATGTTTGATTCATATGAGCTTTTTTGTATGTTGAGTTCATAATTTACATGTTTAAATCATAAAATAAAGTCAAGCAAGTAAATAATAATATAAGTTTCAAATTGATTTACATAAGTGTCCTGACATGTTTAATATTGAAAATTATTTTATGATATATATTAGACTTGAATGATATTGTAAAATCGAGATAACTTTATACAAAAGAAATTGAATAAAACAATGAAAGGAAAATTTTAAAAAAATTAATTAAAAAAATATAAAAAAATTCAGGTCAATCTAGGTAAACTCGACTAACTCACAACCTGAAATATGAGTTTGGGATAATGTCATAGAAATAAAAGTGACAAGAATCACATAATTGAAAGCTTAATAACCTAATATCGAAGGATGAAAATGAAAAAAAATCAATTTTTTTAAATCTAAAAAAACTAATGTCAAATTGAGTTAATTTTCAAAACTCATAACTCCCATCACGAGATTAGGTTACCCTATAGGATTTAAAAAATATATGAAAACAATGAGAGATGAGATTAAAAAATAAATAAAAATAAAAAATGATCAAAATAAATAATAATTAAAAGAATGAGGACCAAATCTAGTAAAAATTAAATGAAATAAACAAATGAGGAATAAAACTAATAAAATAAAATAAATCAAGATAAATATTAAAAAATATAGTAATTGAAAAAATAAGGACCAAATATGATAAATAAATAAAATTGAAAAATGATAAAATTGAAAAACATTTTGAATTTGATAAATTATTTTAAATAAAATAAATAATAATAAACAGATTAAGGATGAAATTTGAAGGGTAAAAACATTAAAGGATTACTTTGAAAAATTATAGAGGAGAGTGTGAAAATTGATGAGGAAGAGAAAATAAAACAAAATAAAATAATAATTCATCTTAATCTGATCGTCCGTTAATCACACATCATCTTGTGATGAGGGGATAGTAAGATGGTTTAAAAGCTGTTAACGAGACAACTTTTTAGCTTCAAAAACAATCTTTGTACATTATCTTAACCTAGATGTTGACTCGTATAATACATGTATTAATTATTTTTTTAAAATAATATTTATTTTTATTTAATTACTAAAATATTTCTAATCAACTTGTTTATTACTAAAACAAACTAGAAAGAAAAGACACAAAAGCTCATGAATGTCAGTTAAAAACAATGTTTTTAAAGGTAATTGAATAGTTAAAGATGTTTTTAAAACAAAAATATTAAAAAAACCCCTAAAGCGAAGTAAAAATAAAAAATAAAAATAATCGAGTGATTTTACTTTTATGAAAATAAATATGGAAAGGTCTCCATGCACATTCAATTCAAAAACGACGTTTAGGCTATAAGAAAAAGATTGCCATACCCTTAATAGAAGGCTTAATAATTTTTTTGGAACAAAGTAATCATTTCATTGTTTTAGTCCACCATTATTTTAGTGAGGGTATAATTTACATGTTTTTGTCAATAGTGGATGGACATTAAGGAAATTTTTTATTTTATTTATTTCATTTTATTTTTATAACTGAATAATAAGTCTGTCGTCTTCAGCAGCACATTCGATGAAAATGGATGGCTTCGGGGAACGAAGATAACGGGCTCTATGTCCATGTCCTTCTGAAGAAATCAAAAGCAGAAACAGCCAAAACCATCAGTAAATGAGGCAATGAGCTTTCGAATCAAGCTCGAGCACACCAATGGCTCAAGTGGGCTTTATTAGCAACCCTCCTAGCTTCCATGAAGAGCACTCGTATAAATTTAACAAAACAGCTATCCAGAAAGATAATAAGCCAAGGAAAATAGAATTTATAAGTAAATGAATTGAAAATGAAAACATTTGATAAACTATAGGCACCATAATGTACTTTATCAATCATACAATCAACCCCCGCAAAGAAAGAATCTGCCATGTGAGGAACAGTCAGCTACTTGGCCTAACTATGAACTTCAAAATTGTTACCGTCAAAGCGAAGACTCACCAACTCTATAACCAAACCAAACGCATTTTTCTAGCGTAAAACTCCTCTTGGTCGGCCCCATGAATTCACCTTTCCATGGCTTCAAAATCTCGTAGAAAGAAACCATATAAAAAGCCCAACAATATTTCCATGCCTTCTCCGTCTTTTACTTTTATTTACAAGAAAGTTTCAGTCTTTGTTTCATTAGTCATGATTTTTGGTGTTATTTTTCTGTTGGGCATTTCATCGAACATTTTGAGTGGCATTGCTGCTGTTCCTAAATTATACTCGGTTCAGATTATCAATGAGTTCCCTCATGATCCCAGTGCCTTCACTCAGGTAAGTACTGTTATGGCTTGAAGAAATCAAAGATTTCATTTATTTTTGCCATCAATATTTTTGGAATGAGAAGGGAGCTAACAACCTACTCAATATTTCTGTTATTTGAGTCTGTCTGTTCAGGCAGTCATGTGTATAGCTGTTATTTTTATCCTGGGGATTTCCTTGAACATATTGATCAGTTTTTCATGTGTTGATCACTCTCCAAAAATCTATTCAATTCATGTACTCAATGAGTTCCCTCATGATCCAAAAGCTTTCACTGAGGTGACTCTTTCTTGGGCCGTCTCTTTGTTTCATAAAAGAGCAACGGAGTCCCTGATTTGATCATCTTGATCTTCGTTTGAAATGTTTTATCTCTTCGCCCCGTTTGGTATTGCGATACAAATGAGGTGCCGGAAAATTTTGAATTTTTTTTATTTAAAATTAATTTTTTATATATTTTTAGATTATTTTGATATATTAATTTTAAAAATAATTTTAAAGGATTAAAAAAATATTTTTTAATATATTTTTAAATAAAAAAATATTTTAAAAAATAATAACTATCGTAATTCCAACACAGTTTAATTTAAATTTATGCCGGAGCTACATCAAGCAAAATTGGAGACCAGTCATTCATTTTTGATTGAGGTATTAAGGATTTGTTTTTGTCATTATTAGACCGGAATTAGGTGGATTGCAGGATCCAACACATGTTGGGATTCCAGTTGGTGATGGCACTACCATAAGTTTTTGTTGACTGTTAACTTGTTGGACTTTCTGTGAATGTGCTGTCATTTGGGATTCCAGTTGGTGATGGCACTACCAGAAGTTTTTGTTGACTGTTAACTTGTTGGACTTTCTGTGAATGTGCTGTCATTTCTATGTACTTGGCATGAAAGAGTTGAGCAATTCATGTAGCAAAGTCTTGTTCATGCGTTTCATCTCATTTTTTATTTTTTTGTTCCCTTAACAATTCGATTGAGATCCCTAACCACACATTTCAGAAAGCCATTCCAAATTATTGAGTCTTTTCTTCTTTGAGTATGAATTGCCTGTGCTATATTACCAGGTTATTGACTGCATCAATCCTGGTTTCAGGGTCTTCTTTATGCTGGAAATGGTACACTGTATGAATCAACTGGCCTTTATGGGAAGGTAAATATGCTGCATACTTTGCACGGTGTCTTTTCTTTTCTTGTCAATTACACTTATGTTAGATGCAATTCACTACTGATCAGTCTATTTAACTCTATCATTTCAGTCGTCCGTACGCAGAGTAGCTCTTCATACTGGAAAGGTACAAGCTCTAATATTTGGTTTCTCATTTATTGTCAGATGTTTTCACAATCATTTTCCATGGCTTTTCATTTTAAACTGAAATTGCAGAACATATATGCCTGCGTTAGAAGAGAGTTAATTGTTTGAAGTTAGCTATTAGTGCTGCTGGTGGACTGATAAATTGTATTTAACAAGAGAAAAAATACTGGTGATTTTTTATTCTTTGTATGAATAGTTGGCAGAGGTAACTGTGACATTTAATTCAACAAATAAGCAATACCTAAATTATATAACAAGGCATATATTTTAATGTAGGCCTTAAGCTTTATTTTTTGTGTACAGGTTGAGGCTCTCCAGAAGATGGGTGATTCTTATTTTGGGGAAGGTTTAACCTATTTTGAGCAAAGGTTTGTGATTCAGCTGCAATTTGTTTCTTGTTGATTCAACAAATATATATTTGAATTAAAATATGCCAAAGGTTGGCTTTTTCACTTGCATTCATAATGACGATACATGCTTAGCCTCCCATTTAATTTATTTGCATATTCATTTCTATGTAGTCAAATTAAAAAATATTATTCTAAATTGCTAATACACTTATTTTATTTTCTTTTGTAGGCTGTTCCAAGTAACTTGGTTGACGAAAACCGGTTTCATATATGACCCAAATAATTTAAGAAAAGTTTGTACTTCACTGTTTACTTTTGATATGTACAAATTTATTTATTAAGGTTGATAGGTACTTTTACACATTTAAGTATTGGAATCTTTGGATTTTTCTCTAGTATTTCATTTGGGTATCACCAAACCACATTTTTATGGTAATATGCTGTAGAAATCTCCTGCTCAAAATTTTGATTCTTAAAATTATTTGCTTGTCAAAATGCCTCCAATCTTGGGTTGTTGTTGCTTTTACAATTGTGATTAGTTACTGCACGTAAAACTGCTCTGCAGACCAAACTACTCCTTGTAGTAAAACGATCATGCTGCATTTTCCATACTTGATTGCTTGTGCATTATTTTGCTTATAATTTTCTTTCCTGCTCACGTGCATCCTTTTTTTGGGGTGACTTGAAGGTTGTAGTTTTGGATATTTCGTAATTTTAGTTTTTATTTAGTGCAGATTGGGAAATTCACTCATGGGATGGAAGATGGTTGGGGACTGGCTACCAATGGAAAAGTTTTGTTCGGCAGTGATGGGACTTCAGCATTATATCAGCTTGACCCTCAAACATTGAAAGGTTCTTGCATAAAACAGTGTTTCAGTTTCTGAAAATTATATGTTTTTTTGTTGTTCCGTTTCTTTTTTCCTTCTTCTTTTGAACAATTTTCAACGGTGTTTCCCCCCAAGAGTATCAATATTCATATAAACCTCAATTGTTGTAGTTGCTCATAATAGTGTCCCTTTTCTTTTCCTATCTTAGCTGCGCCATTTTTCCTTGGTATGCTTTGTGCTAACTCCAATTCTGATGTATGAACTTGATTTTTAAGTTCCTTTTAAATTTCACATTATTTATCACTGATTTTTTTTGGCTTGTCTATTGCAGTCATTGGCAAACAAATTGTCAGATATAATGGACACGAAGTACACTATCTCAATGAACTAGAGTTCGTCAATGATGAAATTTGGGCTAATGTTTGGCAGGTGTGTTCTTGGATCTTCATTGTGTTCGTTTGGTTACTGATTGGATAATTTCCCATTAATAGTTACTCTCTGGCATTTCAGTGAGGGCATTGATATTGTAGTTCCCCTATGGAGGGATTTACTGCTTTACTAAACATACGTGATTTAAGATTTAAATGGTTCTTTTTTTTATTTGGATATCTTCTATCCCAACCCCCCTGTTTTTGGGCTTAAGTTTAGTGATTGAGCTACAGGATAGCAAAGAACTTTTCAAATGCAGGCATTTGTATCTTAAACAAATGGCAAAGACTTTACCAAGCAAGCTAGTGAAGACTCTCCTTCCAATGTTGCCTCAATCTTTTCTTCTCTATGTGCAGACCGATTGCATTGCAAGAATCTCACTGAAAGATGGTGCAGTGCTTGGATGGATTCTCCTTCCAAATTTAAGGTTCTTTTTCAATTTGCTTTCCTTAGTATAGTTTGTTAGCTTCTGATATTTGTTCTAATCGATCATGAGATAATTAATACCCTGTGATGTTGCTCAACGGTTTCAGAATCATTCATTTTCGTTTCTGTTTTACAGGAAAGGCTTGATAGCAGCTGGACACAATGTAAGCAATAGTCAAATAATTTCTAACATCAGTTTGTGACAATAAAGCACTCTCTGTTTGTTTCCTTACTAAATGGAAAGGAAGAAATACTTAAAAGGAACTGCATTTCCAATTATTTTCTCTTACTTTTTCTTGTATAGATTGTGGGTTCACAGAGTCTTTTCATTTCCTAATCATGTATTGGATTTTTCACTGGATTATAGGGCATTGATGTTTTAAATGGAATAGCTTGGGATGACAATGACAACCGCCTTTTTGGTAAGCTGCTGCAGATGTTTTTTCTCCTGTTCCACTTGAAATCCCATTAACATGTTTTATGTGGTCCATATTTTTAACACAGAAATCCTGTAGCTAACTGCTGGAGTTAACTACTGAAGTGTGCATTTCCAAATGCAATTTTATGCCTTTTTTCTGCATGTCATATATTACCTTCATCATGTTGAATCATGTTTTCCACAAGAAATCATATTTTAGCAGATTTATTGTTTTATAATGTAACTTTTATTTTCCATGTTCAAAACTTCTTTGCAGTTACTGGAAAATTATGGCCAAAGCTCTACGAAATCAAGTTGCATCCAGTAAAGAAACATTTTGGTACTGGAGTGATTGAGCAGCTTTGCATCCCACCAAGATCATAACATTTCAGACAATAATACTGAATTGGATGTGCTCATAAAGCATACTTTTAAACTTTTGGTATGATTATTGAAAGGAAAAGGAACTTCAGGGTCAAAATAAAGTTTGGCTGACACACAGGAAATACACACAAATTGGAGAATAACACTTCTGCTTCCTGGGATTTTTTATGAAATTGTTTTGAATTATATCATTTGAGTTACCCTAAGAGCTACACGGTATGGTGCATATAAGTCTGTAAGTTTACATGAAGCCATTAATTTCCAAATGAGGGAATTGGAGGCAGAGTGGGATGGGATATTATTGGATGTGGAAAATTAGTGCTCACCACGGTCCTTGGAGGTTGGATTGCCACAACACCTTTATATATATATATAGAGAGAGAGAGGATTAACAAATTTTTGTTATTGTTATTAATCCCTGTTTAATATGTGAATCGTGGAACTTTTTTATTTGATTTATGATTTAAGTTTAAAATCAAATTATATTAAAATTACTCTGTAATGATTCATTCTACTTAATTGATCTAAAAAAAAATTAATTGTTTGGTAAAAAAATTGATGATAAAATTTTAAAAAATAAAGTCTACATAAAAAAATTTATCCAGTTAAATACATAATTTTAAAGATGACATGTAAAATATATGACAGGGGAGTTAGGGGTGGAGTGTTGGAATATTTTTACTAATAGAAAATTACTTATCTATATTATATAAAAAAATATACAATGAAACCAATTACAATATATATATATATATAGGATTAAGAAATTTTGGTTATTGTTATTAATCCCGGTTTAATATGTGAATCTTGGAACTTTTTTATTTGATTTTTTATATGATTTAAGTTTAAAATTAAATTATATAAAAAATTACTCTGTAATGATTTATTCTACTTAATTGATCTAAAAACAATTTAATTGTTTGGTAAAAAAATTTGACGATGAAATTTTAAAAAATAAAGTTCACATAAAAAAAATTTATCAGTTAAATCAATAAATTTAAAAACGACATGTAAAATATATGACGGGGAGTTAGGGATGGAGTGTTGGAATATTTCTACTAATCGAAAATTACTTATCTATATTATATAAAAAATATACAATGAAACCAATTTCTTGATTTGGTACAAGTCAAAAGCGGTGAAAAAAAAAAAAACCTTCACTATTCATTCATATGAATTATTCATATAAGCACCATAAAAAATGCTATGATAAAATAAATAAATCATAACCATGCTCCAAGTCCTTCATTTAATTTTAAGATTTTCAACTCTATTCACCAAATGATCTCTCAAATTAATTATTATAGTATAGATGACTTGTTTAATATTATCCTGGCATTAAATGAAAAATGAAGATTTTCTTTGAAGTGGCAAGTTTAATTTGAAAGTCAGCTATTCAATTTATTTATTTTTGATTAGTTGATCAAATATATTTCAAAGATTTGAAATACAATTTCATGTAGCTAATCTCAAACTCCTACATCATCTTTGTGTTTTTGTTCTTTTTTAATTTTAATCTTAATTTTTGGTCCTAAAAATATCAAAAACAAGAACAGCTTCTTTTCTATTTGCATGGACTTCACTCTTTAGCTTCACTCTCCATCTCTAATCAAGGCATACAACACATCATCTGTTTAACAACAAGATATCAAAGCACGCCTCATATTTTGGCATAAGATTATGGATTCTAATACTTGCTTTGATTGTTGTCTTTACTCTTCTCTTTTTGATCATCATCGATGCTTGGATCATTTATCACTGTTGCCGAAAATCCAAACCTTTCAAGCCCCATTTTCGCCTATCGAACCCCCTTTCGATGAAAGATTTTGAAAATTCTTGCACTACTCCTTCCATGGATAAAAGGTTTTTGTCGCATCGAATTTCGGAGGTTTAAATGAACAATGCTAAGTTAGACCGTCAACTGGTGATGTCATCTGAACACTGGTCTAATATGAGTAGTGCATGCGATCACAACTCAATGGAGTGGTAATGTAGCTTATTTGAAGTCTGTTATTAGTCACTCTTCTGTGGTTCCTGATACATGAAGGGGAGATCAGATTGCTTCGAAGGAGATTGAGGTTGTTGCGGATGGTTTTGCTGATAAGAATCTGATTGGAAGTGGAAATTGTGGTGTTGTGTATCGCGGCGTGATGATGGATACTACCAGAGTGGCTGTAAAAAGGTTACTGAGTAACAGGTGCTCAATTTTGAGTCTCTGTTAGAAGATATATGATTTATTGATTACATCAAATCATGCATGCTGGATGACTGAAAACAAAGAAATTGTGCATTTCAGAATTTTGAGTAGTTAGTTGATGAACTAATGATTAATCATCAGTTGCCAAGCTGAGGACTTCACAGCAAGGGTGGAAATGATAGGGAATGTCAGGCACAAGAATTTGGTCAAAGTTCTTGGATACTGTATGGAAGAGGGTTACAGGTAAATTTCTTTTTTCCCTAATAAGTTCCTTTTTTTCCTAATAAGTTCCTTTTCAGAATCTATACTAAATTGTTATTTGTCTCAATCTTCTGCTTGTTTCTCCCTTCTATTAGAATTCTTGTGAGTGAGTATGTTGATAATGGCAATCCGCATCATTGGCTTTATGGATTTTCTGAACAAAGACCTCTAACATGGGCTATACGGATGAACATCGTCCGAGGAATAGCTAAAGGGTAAGTTCTGTGATCTTCAGATATTTATACTTTTCTATTAGTTCATGCTCATAATATGTACTTTTGCTTCTGAAGATTAGCCTACCTTCCCTGAGATATCGAGCCAAAGATTATTCATCAGAACCTAAAATCTAGCAACATACTGCTTGATCACCAGTGGAATCCTAAGATAAATGATTTTGGGATCACTGACAATTCACTGAATGGAAACATCTGGGTGAGTTTCTTCTAATCAGCTTGCTTACCACATAGGAATCTTGCCCTGGTTACTGCAAGTGAACTTGATAATCACAATCAGCCTCAAGAACAGATTTCTTATCTTCAAGATACTAGTTTTACTTTACTCTCCGTATATAAAAAAATGTTTTGTTGATCATAGAAATTATTCATTCATTGCAGGTGTATTTGGTTGACTGGTTAACTTCCATGATTGCAAATCATCAAATTGCGCTTGTGGTGGATCCTAAATTGCCAGATATGCCACCTTCCAAGGAACTAAAACGAATGCTTTTGCTCGCTCTTCGCTGTGTGTTGATCGTGATATAAAGCAGAGGCCTGCAATGGGAGATGTGATCCACATGCTTGAGCCTCGCGACTTATTGCTTGATGATGTAAGAACTACGAATATTGTCTTCTTAAAACTTCAGAACACGTTGGGTTTATTAGTCCGATTATATGATGCAGGATCGTCGAAAAGGAGAGATGGCAAAAACGCAGCAAGAGAGTCGCACTGTTGACAAATTTGGTGAAGGTGATTTTAGTACACATGAGAAAGAAAGACAGAAAGAAAGAAAGATTAATATCCACCAGACAATCACGCCGGTGTAAGAAGATTTTGTTCCTAACAGATCATGGATAATCTGACTTCTGAGAGGTTGTAGACATCTTTTATTCATCTGTAGAGATGAAGCTATGAACTTTCTGTTCATCTGTAGTCACTTTGATCATGAGTTAAATCAATAATTTTGTCCATTCAATCCATCCTTCTTGATCAATCAAATATATTAAGCTGATGAACTAAAACAGAAAAAGCTGCAAGTCTTTTTTTATTTGATTTACACATTTCTCTTATCTGGGCTTACAAAACACAAACAATATTCTGCAATTCGTTAATGTCTAGGAACCTCAACCTATTTTATTCATCTCTAGGAGAACCGCAATGGCTGGATGGGGCATGATCTAGCTAGTGGCAGAACAAGTTTGGAGCCTAACTTTCTCAATCGGAAGTTGGTCTTCTGGAAAGGGACAATCCATGCTTTTCTTTGGCAACGCAGCACATGGCATGGGAGTCACATTGCTTGAAACTCCCGATACATCAGTGCAGTTCCATGCTGGTTCTTTATGTTTCTCAGCCAAGGTCATTGTTACATTAGAAATGCAAATCCCTGTAAAAGGATTTCCCTCGCCGAGTCCTTCTAGTTTCCCCGGAATCGTTACATTGTCAGCTACTATATCTCTGAAATTTATATTTGTGATCTCAGGCAGTGCTTTTGGATCATATCCCTCATCAGCGTGTGACGAATAAGAGCCTATCATCCAAAAGACATACTTCATTGTCTTTAGGGTCATTCTTCTCACAAAAATGTCTTTTACATAACCTCCTCTTCCAACAGCGGTTTTGACTCGAACAGCTGATTCAGTGTTAATGGCTGTGATATCTTCAACTCTAACATCCTCGATTCCACCGGACATTTCACTTCCAAGAGCAATGGCAGCACTCTTAGGGGAAATGCATGTTATCCTTCTTATGACTAGTTGCTTCATAGGCATCCCAACTTTGATTCCATATTGATCCAGTCCACTCTTAACTGCGATGCAGTCATCCCCAGATACGATGTAGCAATCTTCGATTATAACATTAGTGCATGAATCTAAAACAAAACGAGAGAAGCCATCATCGATAAATCCGAAAGATTACATCAAACATCAAGTAAAATCTATGTTGCTATACGAAAATAGCACACACCTGGGTTAATCCCATCTGTATTGGGAACATCAACCGGTGCCAGAATAGTCACCCCCTGAATCCACAGATTGCTGCATTTTTCAAAAACATTAAACCACACAATTAGATGCAATCTCCTTTCATAATATGCTTCTCAACTATCGTAACTTCTACACAAGGTTTAGCACGTTAAAATGGTCAAACCTGCTATAAATAGGATGAACATGCCATTGCGGAGAGTTAATCAAGGTTATATTCGATATTTGAACCTGATCAGAGTACATGATCTCGATCAGATAAGGCCTCTCCAGCTTTTTCAGTTTTTTCTCTGTGAACTTTTCCCACCATACTGCACCCTGGCCATCAACCGTGCCATTGTTGCCTAACATGAACGGTACATGAGAACCCATTGTTTAGAGGAAAAAAATAAACAAAATTATGCATAATATTTCATAATTTATCTAAAACCAATGCCTTAAGAATATTGATTACCAGTAATTATGACGTCGGTTACGTTTGAAGCAAAAATGAGACCACCAGGCCTTCCAAAAGCAGCGTTTTCTCTTACTCCCCCGTAAGAGGGCAATGGGGTGAGCAGTGGCCATTCATCCTCATCCTGCCAATATGATCATGTGAATATACAAAAATGTAGTGATTTATAGTTACAAAGAATTAATCATATTACAGGAGAGAAATGCTTTAACAGCTGTGATGGAAATGAACATGGAATCGCAGCCATTCACGTTCGACAAGAACACAAGTGAATGTACAGGCTAACATGTTCATAGCTTGACTTTGCAAAGCATTCCTCCCTGTAAATATGAGATCAATATTATATTGCTCTATAGAGAACACATTTAGATGTTAGGTTTGCCGGAGCCTCGCTAAATTATGTGGGATCCATCACTTTTATGAGCAAGGAGTCATGGTAGTAGGCCTCATGCAATAAATTCTTTTTGAAAATTAAATAGGAAAGATCCATACCTGAGAAGCAAGAAGAACAGCATCCTTATGAAGAAAAAGAGTGAAATGGCTGGTGAGATTAAAACTCCCAGTTAACCATTTTCCTGCGGGTACGATAAGTTGTGCTCCACCATCTGGTGCATACTTGCTTAGTTTCTTAATTGCTTCTTCAAAAGCCTTTGTGTTGGATGTTTTTCCATCGCCAACTGCTCCAAAATCTGTCAAAACTGCACTATGCTTTCGACAATTTATCGCTTTGTACTCTACCGTATTTTGGTGGTATTCTGCGAGTGTTGAACCAGCTAGTGATGATCCCAATATGAAAACGGTTGAGATAATAATCTGCAAAACCTGTAAATCATCAAGGTAATAAAATTCTATAATTTCCTTTCCCAACAAGGGACAAAAATTGTGTATCACAATTTGATAATCGCTGCATTAAACCAGATCCGAGGTAATAGATGTTACATATCATACAATAAAATGGAAAGAAAAAGAGGAGAGGAGAGGAGAAAATGTTGTCTCTAGCTTCAGACAAACTACCTGGTACTTTCTGTACTTAGAAAAAAACCCCATTACGTGTATGTAAGTGAGAGATCGGATTCATCTTTCAGTACAAAAATGGAGAGAATTTATAGAGATCCTTTGGAAGAATGTTCAGGATAATAATTACCCCGAGAATTTCTGGGATATTTGAGGATGACAGTAATCAAGATGGAATTGCCTTTTTTAATCCTTGAAGATGCCACATAGAGCAGTAACATCTCATTTTTCGTCATACGGTTATGGAATATTAACATTAACAAGGAAAAACAAAAAAACTAAATGGCATGGTGAAAACATCGTGGCCTGTCTCCCGTAGGATGGCAACAAATTTTTATTTTTTCCAGGTCTGGTGTGGAAATGGAGGCAATGAGAGAGAAGAGATGGAAGAAAAGAACGGGAAAAAAAATTGCCACCGGAATGGACTCTCCGTCGACATGCGCCATCCTGGAGCGAGCTCCCGAGTCGATTTCAATGACATCAAAGAAGATTATTGTAGCTCGGAAGAAGCAGCATGTACCACTAAAATAAGGCGAGCTTCCTCACTTGATTAATTATTTTTATTTGATACTTGATAATTTGATAACTCTGCAATTGTTTAATTAATATGATACCTGATTCTTTGAACTATTTTCGATTTCATAGCGCAGACACCAGGGCTTGAACTAGTGGCTCTAAACTCTTAATGCATGCTTTGATTGCCTCCTAGCTATTCTCATTCTTAGACGAAAATTTATTTACAAACTAGTTTTTTTACATTAAGATACAAAAATTTCATACAAATTGATTTGTCAATTGATAATTAAGTGGTGAAGTATGGATCCCATGAACTGAATGATAAACGGTTCATCCTCCATATTGAAAAATATTTAGTGTCATGTGTGTTTGTGTGAGCAGTTTATTCGTATAGCATTACTCTTACTTTCAGAATATTTAAATTACGAATCAGTTGTCAAATTACATAATATCAGCAAATATAAATAAAAATATCAATTGATTTTTTTCTGTGAGTAATTGTAGTAATATTTACCAACCAAATTTTTTATTACTAAATCCATCAATAACTATTAACAAAAATATGTCCTCAGTGTATACTAAAGAAATCCTAGTCAGAATAAAAAAATATCAAATGACATATAAATTTTTATAAACACGGTTACTGATGGTCCAATTCAATCGTGAATATACCGTTGGATTGAAATGTGTAAAAAAAAATTTAGCACCCATAATTTGTCTACAAGATTATGGGTAAAATTATTAACAACAAACTTATCAACTAATCAAAAATCACTGATAAATATTTTTCAAACGGATAGTTTTTATTTGTAATTTTGTTAGTAAAATAATCAGAGATGGAATATTAATATAAATACTAATAAAAAAATTATCAATAAAACTATTAGTAATTATTAAATATGATAGTATTAAAATTTAAAATGAATTTTTCAAAAGTTAGACCATCAGGAGGTGTTAACTGACCAATGCAGTGTTGCTGTGTTGGTTTAGCTGATTTGGGGTCTCTTGCTAAGTACTCTTCTGTGGTTCCTGATACGTGAGGCGAATCAGATTACAGTGTTGATCATCGCAGCAGCTAGCACGCTGGTGAATACTTACCAGAGAGATTGTAGAGAGGCTATTGAGTCATAGCTACATAATTTTGAATCATTGGTTTTGCTTTACAATCAATTTGCTTCTTGCACTTTAATTTATGGATTTAAAACAATCATTTAAAGCAGTAGGTAAATGAATGGAAAAAAGAAAGAAAGAAAATTTTCACCAATCAACCTCTTCTTTGTGACTTGTGGTAGCTAAAGAATTCTATGCTAAATCCATGTCTACGGTGTAGGATCATCAGCCTGTTATACTTGTTACTCGAAGAGAAATATCATCATCATGGCTTGATGGTGGTATATTTTAAGCTACTAACCGAACAAGTTCTGAGCTGAACATCCTCAAATGGCAGTCCATCTTCAGGGAAAGACACTCGGTACCTTTCTCCGGAAATGCAGCGCATGGCTGAGGAGTTACTTTGCTAGAAACTCCCTGTATGTCAGTACAGTTCCATTGTAGTTCCTTAGGTTTCTCAGTCAAAATTATTCTTACATTAGAGATGCAAGTTCCTGTAAAAGGATCATTCTGAATTCCTTCAGGTCTTGCCGAATAGGTGACATTGTCAGCCACTATATCTTTGTAATTTATTCCTTTGATCTCAGGCAGTGCTTTCGGATCATACCCCTCGTCAGGATGTGACCCATATGAACCTGTCATCCAAAAGGCATACTTCATTAATATAATGTTTAAAAATTATTAATTCGTTGAGAAACTTGGTTGCACAATGGTGGAGGAATATATACGTCGTGGTTGATACTTGTATTTAGAGATACTTCATTGATAATGAATGCCGGGTGTTTAGAAATATAATGATGATTGTTTTTTAAAGTTTTTTAAATATATTAATTTTAAAAAAAATTAAAGTATTTTTGATATTATCACATCAAAATAATATAAAAATATTAAAAAAATAAATAAAATTTTTTTTAGAAGTGATGCATCAGACAACTATTAAATGCAAATTGATGTCATTAAATTAAATAAAAAATTCGTATGGGTTTTTTCTTTCAAAAAGAAAATAATGATTTTTAAAAACATATTAGTGATAAGGGTTTTGTAGTGGAACAAACTCCAAGAATACGCTTGAAGATTAAGGTTAATGAGCATTCGAGATAGCATTTAGAAGGATTTTTCTTTTAGATATAATAAATCTATATTAAAAGTATGTTTTTAAAATCATTTAGAGAATGCAAATAAATGAGAAAAAAAAAACATATAGAAGAAGTGTTCGTTGACAATGATATTACAGATATATCAGTCATTGCGCCTTTACTTTTGTTGAGGTCTTTATATGCGACTTATAGCATAGCATTGTATTGGCTCGACGCTAAAAAAAGTTGTGAAACGAATTATTAACATAAAAAAACCCAAGAAATGTGCATTAAGCTTTCGTTATGAAATTGGGATGGGAGTCTTTGGGCTAGAGTACTGCTACGTGATAAATATATCAGAACTCAACAAAGTATTAATTCCTACCGTTCGAGCAAAAGGAACGAACTCCCCCTTATGGAAATCTACTTGCAGAGTGTGGCCTGAAATTGTGGAAGGTACAGGTTGGTCAACAGGAAATGGGGCACACAGGTGAGTACTTCCTGGAAAGACAAATGGTTAGATGGTTTCGGGCCTTTATTAGAGCATCTCCGATCCAACTATTTTGAAAAGCTAAATTGATAAAATAGCATTTTCAATTGTATAAATATAGCTTATCTTATCATATCTATTCTAATGGAAAAAAGCTATTTGAAGAGCTATTTATATTGGAGTGAAAAAAATAAGTGTTTTATTATTTCTTAATATTGTTTAATGTTATTTTTTTCCACATGTCTACATTTAATTAGTCTATTTTTTTAGTGGTCCCACTTTGTTGGTTTTGGCTCTTTAAAGAGATATATAGAAATAGCATTTGTGGGAGAAAAAAGGCATTTTAGCATTTTGTTTGGCTTCTCCTTGGAATATGCAAAACAAATAAAGAAAAGTCAAAATATTAATTTTTTATTTTTGGCTATTCATTTGGCTTCTCCTTTGGAGATGCTCTTAGATCATGCAGTGTTAGACGTTCCGGGGCTAGCATTTGATGAGTGTTTCTGTAGCGAACATGGTGGACGATGAACAGTGGAAATGGGATATATTTGCCCACCTACTTCCAATGCAGGCGGTTATGGTCTTGGCAAGTTTCCCTCCCCCGTCTAATATGACTTTTATGGACTGATCAGTCTACTGGATTAACTCACAGTCTGCCTATGATATGCAGGAGCATACAGTGAGGAGCCGAAGCACCTCAAATCCTTTCTGGAGGATATTATGGAGGTGGAAAGGTACTCCGGAGAGGATACGTTGTTTCCTTTGGTTAATTGCCCATGATAGCTTGTAGACTAGGGCCAACAGAGCTAGTAGATCCGTCACTAAGGATCCATGTTGTCCGAATTGTCCACCGGCAATGGAATCAACGTTACAAGTCCTAAGGAGTTGCCCACTTGCATGAGATCTTATATTGTAATCTAGGCTGTGTTTATTTTATTTTTTTAAATAGTTTTTAAAAAATTATTTACTGGATTAACTCACAGTCTGCCTATGATATGCAGGAGCATACAGTGAGGAGCCGAAGCACCTCAAATCCTTTCTGGAGGATATTATGGAGGTGGAAAGGTACTCCGGAGAGGATACGTTGTTTCCTTTGGTTAATTGCCCATGATATGCAGGAGCATACAGTGACGAGCCAAAGCACCTCCAATCCTTTATGGAGGACATTGTGGAGGTGGAAAGGTACTCCGGAGAGGATACGGTGTTTCCTTTGGTTAATTGCCCATGATAGCTTGTAGACTAGGGCCAACAGAGCTAGTAGATCCGTCACTAAGGATCCATGTTGTCCGAATTGTCCACCGGCAATGGAATCAACGTTACAAGTCCTAAGGAGTTGCCCACTTGCATGAGATCTTATATTATAATCTAGGCTGTGTTTATATTTATTTTTCGTTAGAAAAATTGATTAATAAAAAATATTTTACAGTAAAAAAAAAATTTGACCTGATTTTTAAAAAAATATTTTTTTAAAAAAATTTCAAATTTGATCCTTAAACTTTTGGTTATTATATATATTTTATTTTGAATATTTATTTTTTAATTTTATCTCTTAAAATTTAATTTTTATATTAACTTTAATCTTTATTTTTATAATTATTATTTTCTTTTTTCTTATCAATTTTTTATTAAAATTTTTAATCTATTAAATTTGGTTCTCATTCTTTTGATTGTTACTTATTTTATTTGAAATAATTTATGAAATGTTAATTATTATTATTTTAATTTCTACATCTTTTTTTTTTAAAATTTATTCTTAATTATTTTTATTATTATTTATTTTATTTGAGATAATTTATAAATTTTTTTTTTAATTTTATTCTCATTCAACTTTTTAATTTGTAAGATTTATTCCTTATTATTTTAAAAATCTTGAAAAAAATAAAATATTAATAAGTTATTTTCCAGCTTATTTTTCATGACA